TTTCTTTTCTTTTTTGTCCCCCTTTATCTTCTTTTTCTGTCTTTTTTTCTGTTTTTTCTTTTATTCTTTTTTCTTTTCTTTTTTGTCCCCCTTTATCTTCTTTTTCTGTCTTTTTTTCTGTTTTTTCTTTTATTCTTTTTTCTTTTCTTTTTTGTCCCCCCTTTATCTTTTTTTTCTGTATTTTTTTGTCTTTTTGCTTTTCTTTTGTTTCTCTTTTTTATTTTCTTTTTCTGTCTTTTTTTTCCTTTTTTTCTGTTTTCAAAAAAAGCAAAAAAGAAATGAAAGTGTAATCTACCATCACATACCAACACTGCAAAAATGATCTAGAAATAAGTCAACATTTCTTAAATTAAATGTATTTACCCTTAATTTGAGTAGATAAATAAGATGATTTGCCAATGAAATAAGTATTTATACTCTTAAAATTAGATAATTAGATAATATACTCTTGAAATAAGACAAAGCAATTGTTTATTTCTTATTTTAAATGTTAATAGTCTTGTTCCATCGGCAAAGTGTCTCACTTATCTCCTCAATTCAAGAAAAAAATGCACTTATTTTAAGAAAAAAGAACTTATTGAGATTTTTTTCAGTGAATAAAACTGCTCTAGGAAACTCTCCTTTCTAATTAACTTTAGTTCCAGGTCTGTTAGACCCAGAACTGTTGCTGGTTTCTTGGTGAACAAATACTTATTTTCCACCATAATTTACAAATAAATACTTTTAAAAATCCTAAAATGTGATTTCCTGGATTTTTTTCCCCTAATTGTGTCTCTTATATTTGAAGTGTACCTATGATGGAAGTTACATTATCCTAATTAGGAGAACTTACACAATGAGTGGCTGACTGAATACTTTTTTGCTCCACTGTAAACATCAGTAGCAGGTTCTGAGTTCTTCTACCAGACATGAGTCGAACTTAATGAACTTTTTTATTTAGGGATAAGTTGGTATATTTACTCACCTGCTTTCTTGATCTTTTTCTTCCTTCAGGGTCAAAAAGTATTGAAATCCCAGAAAGCCTCATGAAGCCAGAGACCGTAAAGCTCTTGGGATACACACTACTTAACGACAAAGACCCACACATGGACCTAAACGGAAAACTGCGGAAAAAACATTTCCTTCCGGGTTTGTTGGTTAAATGTAGTTTAGCTTAGCTGATTGAAAACGTTTTTAAATAACCACATCTGTATTTATTCCCAGCTGTCCCCCAGAACCTCAGATGATCTGCTGTGTTTATAAACTGTTCAAATATGCAGTTATTTTGGTATGGTTTTATTTCTATAGACTGTAAAAGCTGATATTGGTGATATATTCCTACATTGTCTATTTTCTCTCATGAGGATTTAATAAAAAAGCCACATGTGGAAAAGCAGGACTCTTGTTTCAGACTTTTTTTCAGAGACTTCAGGTTGGGTTCATATTTTCCTCCCTAATCTTCTCAGTCTGTCCTTGGATTATTCTGCAGGGGCCTGAGGGTAAGAATAGCTGTTCTCCTTCTTGCCTGAGTAAAAAATGAAAAATCAGAGGTACTGGCTTGTTCATACTGTCAGACTGGGACTGGTAATCTGTGATAGTGGGCATCTGCCCGGTGGGTCGGTCCTAAGGTCAGCGTTCGAGGGCGGGCCCTCCTTCAATCATAGCGGCTCCAACATTTACTCTCCGTCCGAAGGTCCTACCTGTGACAGTAAATACCTGAAGGAGCTGAAGCACTAATCCAACGTTAACTCCCTAAATGATGTGACGGTTGGCATATGGTGTCATTTTATATTTATTTTAAACTGTAAAATCCAAACAAAATTATAATAAAACTAAAATGCTTTCTTTAAACCAAACTACGAAGTTCTTCTTATATTTGGTGAATTTATGTTTGAATATTTTGCTAAAAGATGTTGCGGGAAATGTTAGCCTTTAGCTAACATTTCCCGTCTTCCGTGCATTGTTTTCAGGTTGGGATGTTTTTAAGATGGCCGTCTGTGGGTAAAAAATGTTCTTTAGATTTATGACCTGAGAGATCAGTCGACGTTTTGGTGTAAAATGTACGACTCAACCTGAGAAGAAAAGCCAAGAAGCTTGAGAGGATGTCTGTCATGTTGGGCTTCAGGTGCCTAACCCACATGAAGAAACACTCAGAGACTGGGGAAAAAGTTCAAAGACTTATTGAAGTAAGAGGACAATCACTAAACAGATCCAGGACTGGTCACGACTGGGTTCACTGCAGAGGGGGACAGAGGAGTTAGTGGATGTCCAGGTAATTTGCAGGATGAAAGTATGCAGGTCTGTACCTGTTCAGGAGTTAGAGCAGAGCGGCAGAGGGGGGGAACCAGGAGGGTCCAGAGGCTGTTTGAGTTTCCCTTCCAGTTTCTTCAGAGAGTGGGCAGGCAGGTCTTAGACAGGGATTAATCTCCAGGGTTCTTCAGAGAACAGACAGAGAAACTCTTCTGGGTTTCAGGCAGGTTCAATCTAGGAAGCAGAGAAGAGAAAACAGTTCAGGTTTTCAGGTAGTCAGAGATTCAGGCAGGCAGGTTGGCTCAGGCTTGCTAACCATAACTGGCAAACACTCTGGCACTGGAGAGAAGTCCTCTGCCTCCTTATATACTGATCCCCTGATGAGCAGATGAGCGACAGGTGGTAGCAGGTGAGCACAAGCCCTCAGGAAGGGATCCTTGGCGCCCTCTGGTGGGCAAACCTCCTGATCCCAACAATGTCAGCATCCACAGATTACAGTTTACAGATTAAAGGGGGGCCAGCGGGGCTGGGGGGGGAGGGTGGGGTCTACTCTGTTCCCAATGAATGTTCATTAAAGTCACCATAGGAACCACATTTGGAGGAAAAGGGAGAAGCCTGTAAGTCTATACCTACTGCTGATGCTTCAGTCATGTACATAAAAGTACTTAATTACTTACTTTTTGGTGTTTTTTGAAGCGTATCTTAAGTTATTTCTCTGCGTATCGATTATAGGTATATTGGTCTGACAGAACAGCGGCTGTAAAAAGCGAAAAGCTTTACGAAAAGGAGATAAAACTTGATCACAGACGGGTTTCTAGATGGAGAGAGAGAATCAACCATACATGTAAAAGTCTGATGTTGGAACCGTTAAAAACAACAAATACAAAAAAAATAAAGACGGTCTGAGATCAGGTCAATATTTCATTGGTTAAAGGAATA